TCGATGAAGACATCCCAAAAGCTAAGCACATACATAAATGTTTGGAGGTATATGTTTTAGATGTTAATTGGCTGTCAGAATAAAATCCAGGTGTTTTTTTAAAGACAGGTGTTGTGCCTGGGCATAAATCTGCCTTTTTTACATTAGAATTCCTAACAAAGTGTCAGCGGAGATAATTAAAAATACTATTGTGACGAAGAGAAGCCTGATACTGAAGTAGTGTAGGAAAACTAATATCTAAACTATTTTCTTCCCACTGGAAGATTAAGTTGGAAGTCACTGTTATAATCAACAGTAAGATGCAACAGTGCTCACGATAAACAATATTGTGAACTGTCTCAGGGAAACAGTGCAACGGGCGGTAAGATACTGTTCTCAAGAATTTTAGATAGCAGAATGAATAGGCCCTGATAACTTAAGAGATGCCAAAGCGATGAACATATATTCGTCTTCATTGCACACACCAGATGATACTCAGCACCATTTATCTGAGCTCACATAGAACAATTTTCTAACAGCTTTTCCTACCTGTTAAGTCCCTTTAACATCAGTCAGCATTAGGTAGGGTATCAAGTCCCATAAAGATTTGTCTGTACGAGTGTCAGTTGTCTGTTGATGTCCTTCTTCAGCAAAATCTCGGCACACGCCTCACAGCAGCTGTGCAAGAAAGACATCAGGAGAAGCATTGCATGGTCCCATTTCTAGGTTGCATCCCTTAGTAATCTGCCGTGTAGCAGCTACATGACTGACCTCACCACATCTCTCTGGGTATAGCTAGTTACTGTGACCTTGGAAATCACAAACTATCAAAGTCTGATAGTTCATCAAAGCGTAAGTACTCCATGAAAAGCTGATTCAGATGATGCCAGAAAGCACATACTGTCCCCTATAGCTTTGAAACTTCCCTGATGAGATAGCTTGGGGGTTTCTGGTAACAACTGGGTCCCTTTCTTGTTGCACAGCATCTCTGGTGGCTCGCTTTTACAACCAGTGGAAGGCAGGAGGAGCCAATACTACTGACAAAATGAGGCCTTCCCTTTGCCCTGACCTGTGCATTGGTGCTGTGACGGAAAGGAGGGAACTGGGGAACTGCTCCTGCTCCAACTAAGCTTATTTTATTTCCTGGGAGCAGATTAAGGGACCGCATTTGTCAAGCCACAGGCTGCAGGAGCAACACAACCATCCACATTTACCAGTGAGCTGATCCAGTTTGGTGAAACCCAGTGCTTTTCAAATCCCCAAAAGCACTCCAAATCCAGGGACTTGGGGTTCAAAAAAGCTCTTTAAAGCCGCACACATGGGTCTGAAAAACCAACTCTTCCTCCCACCTTTAAGTATACTGCCACGGAGGTTAAGGTTTGAATGCAAACGCAACTTGTGATACCTCTGTCTGTTGCTTGGTACTTAAAGGTGATTCTCCTTTATAAATTTACATTTAAAAAAAAAATGAAAAAGCCAGTGTATGTGTACTATACAAATACCATTGGTGGTACTTCGTGCTGGGCATTTTGACCTGACATCAAAACTGAGCTCCCTTTTGTATCTAGCCAGCTTACCTCCTTGCCTCGCTGCTCTTTGCTGGCCCAGAGTTCATCCCCTGGACCCACTGCAACGATCAAAGTCTGCAGAACAAACCTGAAAAAAGTGTTTCCAGGAATGGGTACTCACTGTCTACCAGCTTTGTTATTTCTTAACACTGCATTTCTACATCTATTACTTACATAATACTACATGTCTATCATCTCTTATACCACTTCTCACCACAGTGGATACATCACTACATCGATTCACGTCCTTGAAACATCAGCCTTCAGGATCTTTCAATTCATCTTCTTCAAGCCTCTACTCCAGCTGCATTTTTGCTTGTACACGGATCTGAGGAAACTGGTTGGTAAGCGGGGCCTGAAACCGCACAAAGCAGTATTATTTCACTCACTCCAGTTTAATCAGAACAGGCACAGGTCCAAAACAAATCCTCAGCTGAATTTCCTACGAGAGAAATACTGGGCAAAAAAAAATGCAAGGTTGTGGCAAGCATTTATGACAACAAGCTCATCAGCAGCCAACGTTCTGCATTTGCATCATTATTAATCTGATCTGCCACATCTGATCCTTCTAAGCCAGTCCTGAAGAGCTGATATACCATATAGAAAGCATACACTGTAAATCACAGAAAATAATGAGTTTTCATCAGTGGTGAAAGAGAAGAGGGAAAGGCAGATTCTGCAGTGTACTTGTTGCACAACGTAGGAATTTTTTTGACCTGTATCACATTGGAAAGGAAGTGAGGTCTAAACAATTCCATCCCTTTCAAACACAGTGGGCCAAATTCCCAACCAGCATGAACTGCTGCATATCCACTGCAATCGACGGAGCTACGCCAGTTCAGCTGAGAACTTGGCTTTGCATGTCAGTTCATTCAGCAATGATTGCACTTGACGGGCAGCACAGAACAAGCATTTGTTTTTAAAAAGAAAACAGTGGAGTCTTTCAGTGTTAATCCAGCCTATAAATAGTCCTGGTTCCAAGAACAGGATTAACTGTTCTTAGCTGAGGCTCCTATGTATTTGTGCAAAGGAAGAGTAAGGAGGAGGAAAAAAGCATATTCCTCTCTCTTGGGCACACTGATGGCAGGTTTCACCACTCAAGACAAGAAATGATGTTCTGTAGAGCAGGGCAACTTTGCTTTTCGTTAGAACCTATAATTGACATATGCAATTAATGTCCTTAGAGTGACTTTCACACCCGCTTAAACACCATGTAATCATATCACTCACCTTTACCTCACCATTACCAACCAAAGTGCCCAGGGCCAGATCACCAGTTTGTCATAAAGCTCAAAAGGACTGTGTCAATCTCAGCTAGAAGTTGCTAAAGTCATTTTCCTGTGAAATCTCTGGTGGCATGACCAGGCTTACCCCAGGCATCCCTAATCACTGAGGAAACAAATGGCACACCTGGGTTAGAAGTAAACAGACAAGGCAAAACATGCTCTGGTGATCATGGCCAATAAAGAGATCCCTTTGGAGAACAGATGAAGATCAGAACAAGTCAATACAAATGCGCTACATTGGTAAGGCTCCCTTTCCACTTATTTTGAAACCCAGGATGAAATCAGAATGATTGCTTGAGGTCCTTTTCCTTCTTGCAACATTATGCAAAATGTTGGAGCTTCTCCTTAGAATCATAGAACCGTTTAGGTTGGAAAAGACCTGCAAGATCATCAAGTTCAACTGTTAACCTAACCCTGCCATCCCCCCACTAAATCATGTCCCTAAGCACCACATCTAGATGGCTGTCAAACACCTCCAGGGATGGGGACTCAGCCGCTTCCCTGGGCAGCCCGTTCCAATGCTTGACAACTCTTTCAGTGAAGAAATTTTTCCTAATGTCCAATCTAAACCTCCCCTAGCAGAGCTTGGTCTCCTCTCAGCCTCCTCTTCTCCAGGCTAAACAACCCCAGGTCTCTCAGCTGCTCCTCATAAGACTTGCGCTCCAGACTCCTCACCAGCTTTGTTGCCCTTCTCTGGACACGCTTCAGCCCCTCAATGTCTTTCTTGTAGTGAGGGGCCCAAAACTGAACGCAGTATTCGGGGTGCGGCCTCACCAGTGCCAAGTACAGGGGCACGATCACTGCCCTGCTCCTGCTGCCCACACTATTCCTGATACAAGCCAGGATTCTGTTGGCCCTCTTGGCCACCTGGGCACACTGCTGGCTCATATTCAGCTGGCTGTCGACCAGTACCCCCAGGTCCTTTTTCACCAGGCAGCTCCTCAGC